AGATTTAAATGGTTTGAGGATATTTGAAACATACCATGAGAGACTCAGAGAAGTTTTAGAAATGGATATTATTTATATTAACTCAGAGAAATTAAAGATAGCCAATTAGGTGTTGTCACAAGGACATGAATTCTACCCCTGGAACTTAAGCATGGTGGTGCTTACTTTTAATCCCATTGTTGGAAAGCACATACAGACAGATCCCTGGGGCTGGCTCATTGAGTGGTCAGTTTAGCCTATTTGGAAGTTCAAGGCTAGTGAGAGGCTCTTGTCACAAAACCAAAAAGTAGGTGACTCCTGAGGAACAGCATTCGGGTTGTCCTCTGACCTCCACATGCATATAGACACATACATAAAAAATAAGATTCTCTTTGTGTTTGCTTTTCTATTGCTATAGCAAATACCTCAGAGAAAAGATGAAAGGAAAGAGTTATTATGGCCTATGGTTTCAGAGGTTTCCATCCAAGGTCAGCTGACTCAGTATTTCTATGCCTGATGAGATAGACAAGGCAGAAGGCCTCAGGTAGAGGAGAATCGTACACCAGGAAGCAGAGAGAAACAGAACAAATCAGTAAAAGATAAGCTCTTCCAAAGACTTGCCCCAGCAGCCTGTTTTCTCCAACTCTGCCCCGCCTTCTCAAGGTTCTGCTGCCTAGGAAAGTAGCATCACCAACTAGGGACAAGCTTCCACTGCATGAAGCTACCAGGACAATTCATATTCCACTCATAACCATGTGCGTGTGTTTACGTCTCTGTGTATATATAAAACTTGTGTATACATGCACATGCAATTGTATAATTCTTAGAATCAACATTTTTAATAACAGTGGAATTATACACACCATCTAAATCATTCTTTTTTTTCTTTTTCTTTTTTTTTTTTTGGTCTTTTTGAGACAGGGTCTCCTGGTAACCCCAGCTGGCCTGGAACTCACTGTGGAAACCAGGCTGGCCTTGCACTCAAAGAGATCCCCCTGCCTCTGCTTCCTCAGTGCTGGGATTAAAGGCATGTACCACCATACCCAGCCTGAATCATACTTTCTTAATTTAATTTTACAGTGTGAACCTCTTTCCATGTCAGTAGGTATGGTTAAATTTTATTTATGATAGCACATAAATATATGTCATATAAATAACCATTCCTAATATTAGATATTTAAAGGGTTATTTCTTTTAATGGGAAAAGTGTTAATAATAGCTAATATTACTATATAGGCATATAAATGCTTTATAAATATATAATTTGCTCAATTTTTATCTTTCTTTTAATTTCCCTAAATAAAATTCTAGTAAGCCAAGTGTGATGGCACACTCCTTTAGTCCCAGCTCTTGGGAGGCAGAGGCAGAGGATCTCTGTGAGTTCAAGGCCAACCTGATCTACATAGTGAGTTCCAGGCCAGCTGGGGCTACAGAGAGACCTTGTCCCAAAAAGACCAAAAATAAATAAATTTCTAGTAGACTTACTAGACAAAAGTCTCCCTAGTGTTGCTGCTGTTGTTACATTTAGAAATAATTAATCTAGTTTATACTTGGTTAATCAAGTTTTTGTGTTTCTTGGCACTCAGAAGCATTTTAGTTTTCATAGTAATAGAGCAGTAACTGCATGTGGAAAGCAGAGAGTTCAGTAGTCATCTGAACCTTTCCTCTTTGAGGATCACAAAGACTCACATTCTAATTTCTACTTTTAACTCTTTTCTTTTTTAAAGACAGGACCTCTCTGTAGCTTCAAAGGCATGTGCCACCACACCTGCCTTAATTCTATTTATTAACAGAAACTTTTTTTGGGGGGGGTCTTTTTGAGACAGGGTCTCCCTGGAACTCACTATGTAGACCAGGCTGGCCTTGAACTCACAGAGATCTGCCTGCCTCTGCCTCCCCAGTGCTGGGATTAAAGGCGTGTGCCACCGCGCCTGGCGATAAATTTGTTTTAAAAAAAAGATTATATTTATTTAGTTAGTTAGTGTACATGTGTGGAGGTCACCTTGAAGAAATCTGTTCTCTTCTACCTTATGGGTCCTAGGAATCTAATATAGGTTGTCAGGCTTGGTGGCAAGTGCCTTAACCCACTAAGCCATCTCACAGGTCTCTATTAATGGAAATTTCTGTTCACTATACACACACACACGTGAAGACACGTGTGTGTGTGTCTGTGTGTATATAGTGAATACTTGTTAACAACTAAAATTATACTTTGTTCTACTATATTTTAATTCTGTAAGGAAATGAGAAACACATCTGTCTTGCCTATTTTCAGAGCTTTCATGAAAGTTAGCTTGACTTAGATCTCCTTTCTACCGTCTTCCATTTTGAACAGGGCCTTCAGTGTTGAAAATGAATAGTTTGTTCTTATGCCGTTTTTTTTTCTTTCACCCTTTCTTTTAGGATCTTTGTTCCCTCACTTTTTTTCTCTCTTACTGTGTAGCCTTGGTTGGCCTGGAGCTCACTGTGTAAGTCAGAGTGGCCTTAAATTCACAGACATACCTACCTCTGCCTACCAAGTTCTGGATTAGAGGCTTACACCGCCACACCTACCTTGTTTTAGGCCTTTCATAATTGTGTTTTTAGTGTCCTTGAACAGCGTCTAGAATATTGTAGGTATCAACATAAATATTTGTTGACTGCAGAGATTTTGTTTGAATGCTATCCTTTTGGTTTTCATTGGATAGCATTCTTTTTTTAAAAATTTTTTAAAATTATTTTTGTGTGTATGAGTGTATTGCCTGCATGTATGTGAGTGCATCTGTGTCGTGCAGTGCTGCAGAGGTCCGAAGAGGGCTTTGGATTCCCCTGGAACTGGAGTTAAGGACAGTTTGTAGCCGCCATGTGGGTGCTGGGAATCGAACCTGGGTCCTCTGTAAGAGCAGTTGGTGCTCTTAACTGCTGAGCCGTCTCTCCAGCCCGTGGATAGCATTCTTTATGATTTTGTTGGGTCATGTAATTTTGTACTTTTTTTTTTTTTAAAGAGATTAGAACATTCTTTAAGACAGTCATCAATCAGATGTCAAGCTTTCACATGATTTTGTTACTGTAATCTGCCTATTGATCTTATTGATCTCATCTTTATGTAGTCAGGCTGTAAGAGTCATGTGTGCTGACACTCATAACTTTTCTACCTCTTCCAAATGCAGCACTATCAAGATTTTAGTACCATGGAATCATCACATATCACTTTATCACATGGAGTCATCCACATGACTTTATTATTTATTTTTTTTGTTACACATATAACTTATTTATTACAATTCAAAATTAACATGGGTAGCATACCTAAAGAGGGTTATATGATCATCTTTCTGGAAAGATGTCTTGAATCCTAATATGAAAGTAGTAAAGTTGTTCATAATTCTTATCTTTTTCTATTTTTTTTTTTTTTTTTTTTGTCTGAACAGACTCTTAGATCCTCAAACAAACACTGAAATAGCAAACTATCCTATCTACAAAATCCTATTCTGTGTAAGAGGACACGATGGAACTCCTGAGAGCGACTGTTTTGCTTTCACTGAAAGTCATTATAATGCAGAACTCTTCAGAATACACGTCTTTCGGTGTGAAATACAAGAAGCTGTAAGTCCTTAACAGGAAACTCTACAACTGAAATTTCACCGCTGTTTCTGTTGCTCCCTGTTGCTGTTACTTAGAGCCTCACAGGAGGGGAGATGGATAAGTGGGAAAAGTAATTGCTGCACAGACATGAGGATGAGAGTTTCATCCTCAACATTCACATTAAAAGGCTCGGCATTATAGTTTATGCCCATAACCCCAGCACAGGCACATCCTTGGGAACTTGCTGGCCAGCCAATGAACCCTAAATGGTGGGCTCCAGTTTCAGTGACAGACCCTGTCTTAAAAAAGATAAAGTAGGGGCTGGAGAGATGGCTCAGTGGTTAAGAGCACTGACTGCTCTTGCAGAGGACCCAGGTTCAATTCCTAGCACCCACATGGCAGCTACAAACCATCCTTAACTCCAGTTCCAGGGGAATCCGAAGCCATCTTCTGATCTCCACGGCATTGCACAACACGGGTGCACTCACATACATGCAGGCAATATACTCATACACATAAAATAAAAAAAAATTTAAAAAAATAAAAAGATAAAGTAGAAAGTGATCAATAAAGATGTCTAATGATGACCTCCAGCCTCCACATCCACACACACACCAATGAGCACACAGTGTTGCAAGAGCTCAGTTGGCTGTTTGTTGATTGGATTAGATATGAACATTATTCTAACAGAGACACATTTGCAAGCTGTTCTGTGTCCTAAACTTGTTAAAACTATTCTTGTTTTTAAAAATATATTTGGGGGGCTGGAGAGATGGCTCAGCGGTTAAGAACACTGGTTGTTCTTGCAGAAGACCCGGGTTCAAATCCCAGCACCCACATGGCAGCTAACAACTGTCCATAACTCCAGTTCCAGGGGATCCGACAGCCTCTTCTGACATTGCACAACACGGGTGCACTTACCTACATGGAGGCAATACATGCAAACACATAAAAATAAAAATAATAAGCCGGGCGTGGTGGCACACGTCTGTAATCCCAGCACTTGGGAGGCAGAGGCAGGCGGATCTCTGTGAGTTCAAGGCTAGCGTGGTCTACATAGTGAGTTCTAGGACATGTGGGGCTACAGGGAGACCCTGCTTCAAAAATAGACATATATATATATATATTTGGATAGATTCTAGCATTTTGGAAGTAGTTCTTTCAGTTGGGTTCCTGGCATTTTTAACTTCTTTTTGTTTTTTAAAATCCCTCTCTAGTGATTTTGCTTCAGAAACTTAGTAAGATATATAATTTACTGAATGAAATAAGTAGAAGAAAGACAAGTGATTACCTCCTTCAAAGTAAATAACCACTTATCCTTAAAGTATTTTCTATTTTCTAAAAATTTTTATCCATTTATTATTGTGTGTTTATGTCCATGATGGGGGATGATGCACATTCCATGACTTTCATGTTGAGGTTAGAGGAGGAGTTTGTGGAGTCAGCTCTTTCCTTCCACCTTTGCATGGGTTCCAGGATTGAACTCGGGTCGTCATGCTTGTACAGCAAGTGCCTTTACCTCACTGGCCCCCAAAGTGCTTTGTAAAATGTCCATAACTAGAAAGTGGGCAGCTAGTGAGTTTCACAAGTGTGCACATCGAAATGTGGAACATGCCCATTATCCTGGCATGTTCCGTTTTGTTCTCCACCCTCTCCCGCAAATATCCACTATTCTGACCTATATCACCAAAAGTTAATTTTGCTTATTTCTGAACTTGATACAAAGGAAGTCATGCAGTGTATACTTTTATGAGTCTAGCCTCCAATTCTGTATTAAATGTGAAATCAATGGGAAAAAAATATTTCAAGTCTTAATGATAGCAGTCCATTTCCTTAAATATCTGCTTGTAGGTTAGCCGAATACTTTACAGTTTTGCCACTGCCTTCCGCCGTTCTGCCAAGCAGACCCCACTTTCAGCAACTCCTGCACCTCAGACTCCTGACAGTGACATCTTTACCTTCTCTGTGTCTTTAGAAATAAAAGAAGATGATGGTAAAGGTTATTTCAGGTAGAGCATCTTTTACTCTTTTGTTCAATTTATGTGAGTACACTTTATTATCTGTGAGCCAAAAGAAACTCTTGGTCAGATTATTTACCTTTCATATTTCACATGATTAGTTCTTCAGGAAGTCAATGATAGTGATGAGGGAAAAATTGAATTTATAGTGACATTGTTTAAAGAATTTTAAAGCATTAAAAAATTCATCTTACGGAGTACCTGATACTATATTATTTTAGTCAGAATGGCTGACTGACTGTTGATAAGAGTTACAGCTAAAGCTAAGTAGAAAAGATTTATAGCTAAATTTGTCTCTTTTTTTATTAGTTTGGTTGACTTGCTTTTTATCTAAAGACCTGAAGGCTTTTGACATCCAATTT